AATATCCCTGATGAACACAGATGCAAAAATTCTCAGCTGTATACTAACAATTGGCATACAATACACACACCAACAAAAGTCCTTTAGTATGATGAAGTATGAGTTCTATCAGGGATTCAGATATATTCAGCCTATGCAAGTCAATAAGTAATATATCACATCAACAGGAAAAAGGGCAAAATTCATATGATCACCTCAGTAGATGCAGAGAGCATTTGGCAATATTCAGCATCTACTTGTGACCAAAAACCTTAAATAAATTAGTATAAAAGGAATACACCTCAACACAGTAAAGGCCAGATGGGACAAACCCATAGCCAACGTGATACTGGAAGGAGCAAAGCCTGAAACCATGTCCTCTAAGATCTGGAGCCAGAAAAGGCTGTCAAACTTCACTTCTCTTATTCAGTATAGCATTGGAAGTTTTAGCCAAAGCAGTTAGGCAAGGGAAAGAAATAAAAGGCAGACAAATAGGAAAGGAAGAAATCAAATTGCCCCTGTTATTAGAGGACATGAGTTTGTAGGGAAATAAAGCTGAATACATTCACCAGGAGACTAGTGGAACTGAAAAACAAGTTCAGTAAAGTTGCATGGTACAAATTCAGTGTGCAAAACTCAGTAGCATTTCTATACACCAATAATGGACTGCACCAGAAAGAAGTAATTACAAAAAATTGTTATGCCTTGCAATCCATTTAACCATTGGTGTGAAAGATCTCTACATGAAAATTACATAACACTACTGAAAGAGGTAAAGAAAACAAAACAAAAAAGATTTGCAAGATATAATTAAAATGTCCATACTTTCTGAAGAGGTTTCCAGATTCAATGCAGTCTCCATGAAAATACCAACTACATTTTTCATGGAACTATTAAAAATTTATAAAATTCAATCTTGAACAAAAACAACAAAGCAGGAGGCACCAGAATACTAGATTTCAGGACATTCCACAGAGCTATTTCAACTAAAACAGCATGGAACTTGCTTAAAAATAGTCATGTAGAACCAAGGGACTGATTGGAGATCAAAAAAGTGAATCCATGAGTCTATAGTCAACTTTGACAAAGTTGTTGAAAACACACATTGGAGCGTGGACTGTCTCTTCAGTTACTGGCCAGGGAATTGAACTAAGATGTTCCCTTCCTCCTATACAAAAATCTACTCAAAATGGATCAAATATCTAAATGTACACAGAGCTATTTCAACTAAAACAGCATGGAACTTGCATAAAAATAGTCATGTAGAACCAAGGGACTGATTGGAGATCAAAAAAGTGAATCCATGAGTCTACAGTCAACTTTGACAAAGTTGTTGAAAACACACATTGGAGCATGGACTGTCTCTTCAGTTACTGGCCAGGGAATTGAACTAAGATGTTCCCTTCCTCCTATACAAAAATCTACTCAAAATGGATCAAATATCTAAATGTAAGACCCAAAACTATCAAACTACTAGAAAGAAAAGGGAACCACTTCAATATAATACCACAGGCAATGCTTTTTTTTTGAATAAGATTCCAAAAGCACAAAAAAGGAAAAGCAAAAACATATCAGATTGTATCAAAGAGAGAAACTTCTGCACAGTCAAGGAAGCAATCAGCAAAATGAAGAAACAACCAACATAAGGTGAGAACATATTTAAGCTATTCTTCTGACAAAGGATTACTATCCAGAATACATAATGAACCCAGAAAACCTAATTAGAAAACAAAAAATCCAGTATTTGATGGGCATAGAGTATGAATAGAGATTGTGCCCTTGGACTGGCCTTCAGGGAGAAACATACACATTTAGCCAATTCCAGGTGTGCATTTCTGGTTCCACATGCCTAAGGAGCTATTTGGAAGGCAAGTGGGACTTCTAAAGGCAGACAATAAAGAAACAACACGTGAGGACTCTAATACTGAAGTTACTGGTGATAGTAAAGGGCCCACTTAAGTAGCAGTTATGTATTGTCACGGGCACCAATCAGCCAGCAGATGAAGCAGCCAACATTTTCCTATATAAATCTCCTATCTGTATATGACACTCATTCCAATTTTTAGCTTGTCTAACAATTGCTCCTACTGATACTAATTCAGACACTCACTGAAGAGAATCATATGGGCTTCCATCAGTGTAGAAAAGGTTGGTATTATAATCCTGACAAACATGTTTTCTATACCTGACAATTGTGCCTTTCAAATTGCTGAGGCTACATGTGACCATACTCATTATGGAAAGGAGATGTATTTCAATGACTCTCAAACAATCTGACTGGATATAAGGAATCACCCAAAAGTGTATGTTGTGTGCAAACAACCAGAACCACCCCAAGCAGTTGGGAGTGGGGCTGGCATTGTTGCACAGAGGGTTAAGCTGTTGCCAGCAATGCCATCAGATTTTTAGATTATTTTCCCCTTTTAGCTCTAGGACATGTGGGAAACAGATGTATAAGGAGAAAAACCTTTTTCTCTCTGTCCTTGTTATCTTTTTTCTTTTCCTCAGTGATGAACTATAACAACCTCAGGAGTTCTAGATTGATCCCTTGAGAGCACTAGTTGCTTAAACTTTACTTGTTAGTGGAGCTGCTTCCTTGTGGTATTTGAGGAGAAAAAATAGTGTACTTATAAATGTTTAATTGGGGTAGGGGGATCTTCCTTTTTTAAAATTTAAATTATTGTTCATGTGAGAAGGAGGGAAAGAGAGAGAGGCAGAGAAAGTTGACCATCAACTCTGTTAACTCGCCCGAATGCTGCACCAGCCCAACTGTAGGAGGAGCCAGCAGCCCAGAACTCAATCTAGGTCTCCCATGTGGGTGGCAGAAACCTGATCAATTGAGCCATCACTGCCACCTCCCAGGGTCTGCATTTGCAGGACACTAGAGTCAGGAGCCAGAGTCAAGTGCTGGACACAGGTACTCTGCTGTGGGAAGCCGGCTTCTGAGCTTGCGTCTCAGACTAGGCTAAATTCACACACTGGTCCTAATTATTTCATTTTCAATCTCTTCTTCTTCCTTAAATCTTAGGTATTCAGAGTAAATATCTATTGAGAAACTACGATGGTTCCAGTTCTGGGAGCCATGGTTGCTCACAAAAAGGTGAACCAGTAACATTTCAAGTGTAGGAAGTACTAAGGCAAAAAAAAAATTGGAGTAGTATAAAGTAGGGACTGGAAGAAACACTTGTGCACTCATGTTCATAGGAGTATTATCCACAACAGCCGAAAGTGGAGCAATACAGCATCCTTGGGCAGGTGAAACAACTCAACCTATACCTACAATGGGATATTTATTATTCAGCCTGAAAAAGGATGGAATTTCACACACACGGAACAGTGTGAGTGAACCATGAATATACATTATACTAAATGAAAGAAGTCAATCCCCAAAGAACAAATATTGTAGGATTGCACAAGTATCTGGAACTTACAGTAGTCAAATTCATAGAGAAAGTAGAATGGTGGGTGCCAGAGGTTGGCAGGGGAGGTGTAAGGACTGGGAGTTAGTGTTTGTTGGGTACAGAGCTTCAGTTTGGGAAGATGAAAGATGTTTTGTAGATAGATATTGGTGGTGGTTATGCAACAATGTAAATAGACTCAATACTAAATTTATAACTATTGTATACTTATAAATTGCTGAGTATATTTAAAAAGTATTTATTTATTCAGAAAGGCAGAGACAGACAAAGACTGACAGAGGTCATCCATCCATTGATTCACTCTCCAAATATCTACAACAGCTAAGGCTGAGCCAGGCTGAAGCCATGAAGCTGGAATTTAATCTAGCAGGGACCCAAGTAATTGAGCCATTGCTGGCTGCCTCTCAGGGTACACATTATCAAGAATCTGGAATTAGAAACAGGGTTGGGACTCAATCCCAGTTACTCTGATATGGGTTGCAGATATCCCAACTGGTGTGTTAACCTCTGTGCCAAATGTTTGCCGTGGTGAGTAGATCTTCCGTGTTCTCACCACACACACAGACACACACACACACACACACAAATGGTAATCATGTGAGGTGATGGAATTGTCCACTTGATTGTAGTAATAATTTCACAACTTATAGGTATATTACAACATCAAAATCTATGATTTTTATTTGTTAATTATACCTCAGTAAAGCTTGAAAAATTACTAACTTGATAGATTTGATGTGAATTTTATCACCATGAAACAAGAAATTTAGAAAGAGTGGAATTTTGATACATACTATAGTTGAACCTTGAAAACATTATGGAACTAAAATAAAGCAGACACAAAATGTCAGACATTGTCTGATTCCACTTCAGTGAGGAACCCAGATAGAGAATTCATAGACACTACTGAAGAATAGAGGCTGTGAAGAGCCAAAGTGACTCCATTTTAAAACAATAAAAAAAGCAGCCTCCGTTTCCCATAGCAGACCCAAGTCCTTGTAGAAGCAGGCATTCAGGCATTCCGGAGATATCAAAGCTTACCAGGGACAGCTAGCTCAGTAGACCAAGGCCAAAGTAACTGCCTGCACCCAAAGCTCCCATGCTGTAAGCCCCCACTGATGTAACTCTTTTTTCCTGCTGATGTAGCCCTTTTTTGCTTTAAAAACTCTCCCTAACAAGACCGAGGCCTCACTCCTTCCTCCGCTGTGCCGGTTGGTTGGATGGGGTCCCTGTCATGGCTTGTACTCTTGAATAAATCCTGCTTTTGCAGTTTGGTGTGATTGGGTTGCTGATAGCTTCTTGGGGATCTACTTATCTGGACACAACATCTGCCCTGGGGCTGGAGTTAGAAAATGGGCAGTTGTTTTTTGTAAGGTGTACAGATTTCTGCTTGGGATGATGAAAAGCTAAAAGAACTGGATAGAGGACAGTGTACTGTGGTGGAATGAGAAGGCCATGCCAAGATGGCCACTGGCAAGCGAGTGTCAGTTACACAGGAATGGCTTCAGACAGCACCTGGCAATGGAGGTTGCCTGGCAACAGGCTGTGAATTGTTAGGGCATAAACCATTCCGTGATTGGACTGGCTGCCTCTGCTATTTAAGCTGTTGTACTAACTGAAATAAATGAATCTGCGGGCTGCTCACCTCTGGCCTGCTTTTACCCGACTCCTGGGGACTGTGTGGTGACTCCATGCCTCCTGCTCCCACCACGCTCCTTCTCTCAGAATGAATCCACAACATCTGGTGCCCAACATGACTGGGAGACAGTGTGTCAGACTTGGTGAGGTCCCCCCTTGATTTCGGCAAGTAGGCCTCTCAGTGTTTTGTGTGCTGTTTGGTTCTGTGAGGGTAAGCACAGAACACCCTTGTATGCCCCTTTCCTTGTCCTTGTCCTTGTCCTTGGTCAAAGTGACCCCAGGTTAGGCACACACTGCCCAGAAGCATAACACCGCTTTTTGGCTCCTTTTACTTTCAGTTCACCTGGCGAATTCACATAAGGGACTGATCATCCCAGAATTTGGAACCAAGTCATCTTCCCTCACTCGAGAGAGGTGACACTCTGGTGATACTGTGTGGGCATATGGCCTTGACCTATCAAATCAAGGAAATCCCCCCTAAGCACAGGCCATACTTACAATCTGATATACCACTGTCTGTTCCTCTAACGTAGGGAACCCCCTGTGTAATGCCATCAGCCACTGAGGTGCTAGGAATTTGTTTTGTTATGGTAACAGTGCTGTGGGTGTCTTTCCTTTGGCTAGAATTGATATGGTGCGCTGCTCTTGAGCCCTCAAATGTGGGAAAATTACCCCCGTCTCCGAAACCCTCACAGATTACCAAACATAATGAATATGTGAGTGATCAGAGCCTGCCACTCCAGGCTGTTGCCTCACAAGCAACAGTTGATGACTTAGGGAGAGAGAGCTCTGACAGTGAAAATGACAGCAGACAACACAGCAATGCCTAGTCAGCCACCCCCCAAATATCCGTGAGATGAACTTAGACAACCTCAAGGTGATAACCCATGTGAGATCATCTCATCCACACACAGTGAGGATCCCCACTTTGTGGCAGTCCCCAGGCACTCCAGGCTCTCAGGGCAGCCACTAGACCCCATCCCACCCACATGTTTGCCATTAATCTTGAAGTGGATTCACAATTCAGGCCCTGGATTCCAACACCCATAAAAAGTCTTCTGCTAACCAAGGGCCAAGGATATGCTTGTGTCTTTCCAGAGAATGTGGGACAGCCTATTTGGGTACTAGCCAGAAACATCAAGCCTGCAACTGACAGTCAACCAGAAGCAGCTGAACAAGACTGAGAGCCTTGTTAGCAGATGCACCTGCTCCAAATTATCAAGCTGCTGCCCTAGCATCCTGCCCTGAGGAACTGCCCACAGTCACATCTGCTACTGTCTTTTACCCCACTAGCTCTGGTCAGCCATTTGAACAGCCAATCGCCTGTGTGTAGTCATGCCATGTCCCTCATTCCTACCCCCATCTGAGCAAGCACTCCTGTGGCCTCCCATTTTGAGGGCTGGTTAGTCAATGATGGGTAATATCCACAGAGGAGAACCTAAGACAGGCACAGCTGCATACGGCGACCACGTAGAAATGGGGTCTACAATGGTATGGCCAAGGATCATGCCTCCCGGTGCTCAAAAATAAATGAAAAGGGGGAAATGTGGTGGAATGAGAAGGTCGTGCCAAGGTGGGTGCTGCCAAGTGAGTGTCAGTTACTCAGGAATGGCTTTGGAAACCACATGGCAATGGAGCCTGCCTGGCAACAGACTGTGATTAGATGGCTTTGGAACCCAACTGGCAAAGGAGTTTGCCTGGCAACAGGCTGTGATTGGCTAGGGCATTAACTGTCCCTTGAGCGGATTGGCTGCCTTGGCTCTATAAGCTGCTGCACCAACTGAAATCAATGAGTCTGCAATCTGCTCGCCTCTTTCCCACTTTCACCCAACTCCTGGTGTCTGTGTCGTGATTCCACACCTCTTGTCCCCACTGTGCTTCTCCTCTCAGAATGAATCCACAGCAACAGTATACAACATTGGAGTGTATCTTGTGCCACCGAACTATACACCGAGAAATGGTTACAATGGGGGCTGGCACTGTGGCAAAGATGTTCAACAGTTTCTTGGGTGCCTGCATCATGGAGTTCCTATTCAAGTCCCATCTATTCCATTTCTCATCCAGCTCCCTGCTCTTACAACCTGGGAGGCAGCAGATGATAGTCCAAGTGCTTGGGCCCTTGCCATACACACAGGAGACCAGGATGGAACTTTGGGCTCCTGGGTTCAGCCTGGCCCAGCTCTGGCTGTTGCAGGCATTTTGGGGAGTCAATTAGTGGATGGAAGATTTCTTTCTATCATACTGCCATTAAAGTAGATCAAAATAACTCAAAGAACTTTTTTAAAAAAGATTCATTTTATTTATATGAAAGACAGAGTTAGAGTGAGGAAGAGACAGAGAGAGAGGTCCGCTATCTGCTGGTTCACTCCCAAGATGGCTGCAGCAGCCAGAGCTGAGCTGATTCGAAGTCAAGAGCCAGGAGCTTCCTCCAGTTCTCCCACATGGGTGCAGGTGTCCAAGGACCTGGGACAACCCCCACTGCTTTCCCAGGCCATGGCAGTGAGCTGGATTGGAGGAGGAGCAGCCAGGACTAGAACTGGCACCCATATGGGATGCCGAAGCTTCAGACCAGGGCTTTAACCCACTGTACTGCAGCGCCAGCTCCCAAGGAACATTTTTGAAAATGCTTAAAATGCTATATTTTGTTATATATCTGTGTGTACACACACACACACACACACACACACACACACACACACATATATATATAACCATAGTAAAGTGTTAACAAATAGTCCAAGAAAAAAAACATCTAATTTTTTATTTGTGATTAACATTTGGTTAATATGTGTGAAATGGTCACTTTTCCATTTACTTATTTATAATCATTGTCTATACTCCCACTAAACTAGGGTCTTTTTGCTTTTTACTTGTTAAACTTCTTATTTGATGAAGTATTAAGCCTTTTTACTGTAATGTAAATTTAAAAGATGTTATCTCAAATTATAACAATTATATAATATATAATTATATATAATTCATATTATATTATATATTATTATATAATAATATATTATAATATGATATATGTTAACTCTTTCAATTTAATAAATAAATCTTTAAAAGATACAAATATTGAGGCAGTCCTGGTTTAGGCTAGATTTTGACATCACTGCTCCAGTGAATCCTGGGACTCTTTCTACTCAACCATCATCTTATTAGGAATCTACAAGTCAAAAATGCTGCCATATTTGTCACCAAGAAATGATCCAAGGAAGATTAACTTTTCCCAGAGGTGAAGAATGTAGGAGAGAGAAATTACAGATGTCTTCAGTGTTAGTCTCCCAGGGATCATGAATTGGCAGGTTAGAGACTCCTGTTTGTGTTGACCCTGTCCTTGAGGAGCCAAAATGATCAGAGAATGAACACGTCACTGATCAATTATTCTAATCAGCTTCAGAGGGGATACAGCCTCCAGGACACAACTTGGAACTCACTAATTTATAGTCATCAAGGTCCCACACTCGAGACACTCACATCATCTCCAGAAGAAGTAATTCAGGCCCTGTACCACATGCCTGGCTCTGTCTCACACTCTGCTGGGGGCCTGACCTTCTGTTTTTATTGTCCACCCTCTACAAGAGAAAGAGATTCTAGACATTTGATTCGGTGGGTTCATGCTGCTGAGCCTGCATAGCCTGGTAAGTGTTGAGGAAACTAGGGGAGGGGAAAGGGCATTGCCTATTGTTAAGTATAAGGTAGGGTAAACTCTGCAATGTTCATGGAGCAAGACTTGATGAACGTTATTTCTGGGAAGGAAGAATGATTAGACTGCTTGGTGATAGCGGCCACTGCATAGTGAGTTTTCACTTTGGTTGTGTTTTCTTTGTGGGCATGATTGAGAAGATGATGAGAGGTGCTAGTCTTTGTTGGCCACTGCAATTCCCTGGACCACAGCATCTAGTGTTATGATTTCCAGTCCAAGTTGCACAGATGGATGCCCCAAGGTCCTGATAGAACTGTAGATTTTTAACAGCAAAGTCCTGGACCCTTCTAGATCTATTCTCTTGTTACATGACCCAAGTACTCCAAATCCTCCATTCTCCACCACCCCCAGACCAAGCCTTCTGAATTCTGTGACCTACACTTGCTTAGGAACATTTCCTGCTTTCCAGAAAGACCTGTCCTTGTCCTTCCCTCTTAACCCTTATCCAGGGCTCTTATTAGATTCCTTCAAGAAAGCAAAGGCTGGATTCCCTAGCATCTTGGACTGTGGTACAGAAATACTTGGGTTGGGCTGTGAGAAGAAAAGGGAAGGACACAGGCAAGCCCAACACCATGTTCCCTCTGACATCCCCTGCTTTAATTCTTGGGGATGACACGGGTGCACTGGAACCCACCATATCCCTTTCCTGTGATTTCCCTTGATTTCCTTGTGCACCTCTCTTGATGCTTGTCTTTCTTAGGCAACATAATTCTTCAGTGGTTCCCTTCAATTCAAATGATGTGAGGACTCCCCACATTTTATGTCTGCCCCAAACTTATCTTTCCCTCCAGGTACCAGCAATAATTCATATCACATTAGTCCTTTGATTGTATTCATTCATTCATTCATTCTCTCTCCACCCCTCCCTGTATGGTATTCTCTTCACAGCCCCATTCTCTGTGCAATTTCCCTTTCCCGGTTCTCAGAGATGTCATCTGTGCCCATCTCTCCAACATCATTCTTGATTGTTCTCATCTACCACTTTCTACTTAAGAGCAAAGTGCACCTGCGCCATAGCTCACTAGGCTAATCCTCCGCCTTGTGGTGCCGGCACACCGGGTTCTAGTCCCGGTCGGGGCGCCGGATTCTGTCCCGGTTGCCCCTCTTCCAGGCCAGCTCTCTGCTGTGGCCAGGGAGTGCAGTGGAGGATGGCCCAAGTGCTTCGGCCCTGCACCCCATGGGAGACCAGGATAAGTACCTGGCTCCTGCCATTGGATCAGCGTGGTGCACTGGCTGCAGTGCGCCAGCCATGGCGGCCATTGGAGGGTGAACCAATGGCAAAGGAAGACCTTTCTCTCTGTCTCTCTCTCTCACTGTCCACTCTGCCTGTCAAAACAAAAAAAAGAGCAAAGTGCCTGAACACGTTGCTTCTTGCTTCTTGCATTCAGACATCTCCCATCCCTCTTCTCAACTTAGAGCTCCTCTCTGTATTCCACACAGTAATCCACCTTAGCACTTAATTCTCTGTGTTACAATTACTGTTTTCTGCAACTATCTCTGCACCTTGGAGGCTGGACCATGAATACAAAGGCCACACTCTTAGTCTTCATATCACAACAGCTAACACATACCCTTGTCCAGACTCCTTTCTTGCAGAATGGTTTCCAGGACTTGTTCAGTGACTGACAAGCTGCCTCATTCATTCTTTTTCTTAAAGATTTATGTATTTATTTGAACGTCAGAGTTACACAGAAAAAGGAGAGGCAGAGAGAGAGCGAGCAAGCTCCAGGAGCCAGGAGTTTCCTCGGGTCTCCCACGTGAATGCAGGGGTCCAAGGACTTGGGTCATCTTCTACTATCACAGGCCAAAACAGAGAGCTGGATAGGAAGCGGGGCAGCTGGGATTCATACTGGTGCCCATATAGGATGCTGGCGCTTCAGGCCAGGGCATTAACCCACTGCGCCACAGCGCTAGCCCTCATTTATTCTTTGGTTATTCCTAAGATAGTTAGCACAACTGCCCTCCGACTCTAGGCAGTAAAAGTAGAATAGGGCATACTCATTGGGTGCATGGACAAAGGGACTAGGATGAATGAGGTGACTATCCTCCCAGCTTCTGATGTCTAACCCTTGGTCCAAAGGTAGGCAGAAAGTTTCTAATACATGGGCAGCTTACGATATTCCTAACCATCATGTCATGACTCATTTGAATCATTATTTTGCTGGTGCTATTTTTAAATATATACCAAGATTCATTGGTTTGAAAGGCAGAGTGACAGAGGGAGAGGGGCATGTGCACATGCATGTGCACACACACACACACACACACACAGAGATCTTCCATCCATTTGTTCACTTCCCAAATGGCTGCAATAGTCAAGGCTGGGCCACACCAAAGCTGGGAGCCAGGAATTCCATAGGGGTCTTCCATGTGGGTGGCAGAGCTTTTCCAGGTGTATTAGCCGGGAGCTGAATTGGAAGCAGGGAAGCCAGAATGGATGATGGCAATGCAAGTGTTGTGCTACAATGCTGCACTCCACAATTATGTTTTCCACTGTACATTTTTCATTGTCTCAACTTTTTAATGTAGACAGAAAGAACAAGATTTGATTATCCCAGAAATAGAACCTTTCTCTGGCCAAATAATTGCTTTTATGAATTTAGTTCTAAAACCTGAATGTTCACATGGACTATATGATGAAACTTCATAACTTCATGGAAAATGGAAATAAAGGATAAATTTATTTTTGCGTGGATCTACAAGTGCTTAAGGAAATAGAATAAATAAGAGAGGGCTCCCAGACTTTTCGAAATCTCACATGCAATTTCTGTCATCTGTAAGCCAGCCACCTTGTTAGTAATTTTTCCCGACAGCATCCTGAACAGAATCAGAAAGACAGTGCCAGAAAGACATCTCAAGATTTTAGGAGGAGAGGTCAGCGCCGCAGCTCACTAGGCTAATCCTCTGCCTTGCGGTGCTGGCACACCGGGTTCTAGTCCTGGTCGGGGTGCCAGATTCTGTCCCGGTTGCCCCTCTTCCAGGCCAGCTCTCTGCTGTGGCCAGGGAGTGCAGTGGAGGATGGCCCAGGTGCTTGGGCCCTGCACCCCATGGGAGACCAGGAAAAGCACCTGGCTCCTGCCTTCGGATCAGCACGGTGCACAGGCTAGAGTGCGCCAGCCGCGGCGGCCATTGGAGGGTGAATCAACGGCAAAGGAAGACCTTTCTCTCTGTCTCTTTCTCTCACTGTCCACTCTGCCTGTAAAAAAAAAAAGAGATTTTAGGAGGAGAGTGATACAACTGGATGTTCACTTTAGAAAGATGTGTTATCAGGCTGGACACTTTGAAGGAACTCCCTGCAATAGACCTAGCAGGGGAGGGGATGGAATTATTTTATTTTGCAATGCTGCTGATGATATTAACATGCAGAGTCCATTCCAGGGAACACCAGAATCCTGGCCATGGCCCATAGGATCTCTGCACATCTGCTCACTAAAATAAGTAAGGCAGGTGGGCATTTGATGCAGTGGTTAGTTAAGATTTTTTTGGGGGGATGCCTGCATCCTATATCACAGAGCCTGGGCAGAGTTCTGGCTCTGCTCCTAATGCTAGCTTCCTGCTAATATGCACACCTCTCTCCTCCCTCCTCCCCTTTCTTCCTTCCTTTACCTTGGAAAGTAAGTCATCATCCTACTTACCCTTCAATATCATATCTAGTTATTGTCCCTGCTCTCATATTTTCTTACTACCCAGATGTGGTTTTCTGGTTTCAGATGTGCCCCAGACAAGCAAGATGGCCTATACCTTTCCTTTAGATCACTGGGCCTCTTATGTGTTAGCGAAGATGTGGGCTATTTTATCCCTAAGATCTAAAGTTGCTGTTTGTAGTCCTTGACTCTAAGTCAGAGATTAAAGGAATAGGTGATGGTCCAGTGCTGTGGCATAGCGACTAAAGCCACCACCTGCAGTGCCAGATTGCATATGGGCACTGGTTTGAGTCCTGACTGCTCCACTTCACATCTAGCTCTCTGATATGGCATGGGATAGCAGTGGAAGGTAGCCCAAGTGCTTGAGCCCCTGCACCCATGTGGGAGACCTGGAAGAAGCTCCTATCCCCTCGCTTCGATTTGGCATGGCTCCAGCAGCTGTGGCCATCTAGGGAGTGGACCAGTGGATGGAAGACCTCTCTCTTGCCTCTGCCTCTTTGTAACTCTGCCTTTCAAATAAAACAACACACACACAAAACCAAAGGGAATAGATTTGTCTCCCTGAGGCTAATGGACAGAGATTGGTCAGCATTACAAAATGTTGTCTATAACAAGTCACAGACTATAGGATTCCTAAGTTTTGTAACAGTAAGCTTGTTTTTCTCAATTCTTCACCTCAAGAATTGAAAATTCAGAGAGAATTGAAAGGCTGCTCATTGTCTATTTCACATGCCTTCTCTTCCTGAACTGTTTAGCTGATGTGTCAACAACATGGAACCAGGAAATCGAACAAGTATTTTAGGATTTTTACTCCTGGGCTTTTCTCAAGACTCAAAGCACCAACCTCTGGTATTTGGTTTGTTCCTGCTCATGCTTGTGGTCACGGTGCTTGGAAACCTGCTCATCATCCTGGCCATCGGCTCCCATGCCCGCCTCCACACGCCCATGTACTTCTTCCTCTCCAACCTGTCCTTGGCTGACATCTGTTTCATCTCTACAACCATCCCAAAGATGCTGCAGAACATCAAGACTCAGAGCTATTCCATCACCTTTGCAGGCTGCATCACTCAAATGTACTTCTTCATGGTTTTTGGGGGCATGGACACACTTCTCACCTGGATGGCCTACGATCGCTTTGTGGCCATCTGCCACCCCTTGCACTACCCAGTCATCATGAATCCCCGTCTCTGTAGCCTGCTGGTTCTTGTATCCTGGTGCATCAGTCTGTCGTGTGCCCTGATCCAGACCCTGTTGATGCTGAGGCTGTCCTTCTGCACCAGGTGGGTAGCTGCACACTTTTATTGTGAACTTGCTCAGGTCCTGGTACTTGCCTGCTCTGACACGTTCATCAATTACACCCTGCTCTACGTGGTGACTGCTGTTCTTGGCTTTGTTCCCCTCTCAGGGATCCTTTTCTCCTATATGCGAATTGTCTCCTCCATTCTGAAAATTCCATCGACTGGTGGAAGATACAAAGCATTCTCCACCTGTGGGTCTCATCTAACTGTGGTTTCTCTGTTCTATGGGACAGGCCTTGGGGTGTATCTCAGTTCTGACGCCTCGTCCTCTTCCTGGAAGGGCATGGTGGCCTCGGTGATGTACACTGTGGTCACTCCCATGTTGAACCCCTTCATCTACAGCCTGAGGAACACGGACATTAAGAGAGCTTTACAAAGTCTTCTCGGGTTCACACTCCATGTTCAGTGATTGGAACATCGTTCCTGGATTTGGGAGCTGCCGGAAGTCACAGCAGTGGGACAAATATATGCCGCCTCTGAACTGTACAGAGTTTTGATGCTTACCCACTCTGTTTCTCCATCTTTGGTCAAAACTACCCTGTGAGTACTTGGTGTGAAGCGTATGGTGATTCCTGTTACCCTTTTTCTACTCACTTCTTCCCTTCCCTTTACATTTTTACATTATTACACATTGGTTGGAGTTTGCACTCCTGCATGTCAATACAATCATTCAAGTGAGATTCAGAAACTACTGCTTTTAAGTGAATTCACTTTACCATTAACCAGAGCTGTTTCTTACCAAATTCATTCACTCGACAATATTTACTGGAATCTATAGTGTACCAGATCTTCTAGGTAACTGGGATACAGCTGTGAAAAAATTTGGGCGATTGGATACTGGGTACCAAAATATAGTGAGAGAGAAGTAAGAAATTCTAGTGCTCTACATTACAGTGGGGTGACTATCATTCACAACAGTATTTTATGAAGGAGTAGAACACAAGAGCTTATAGGTTCCAAATACAAAGAAAGCATAAGGCAATGGAAACCTAGCTACCTTATGTGAGCGTGTTGTCTATATGAATTAAACATTATACTTGGGGCTGGTGCAGTGGTGCAGTGAGTAAAGCTGTTGCCTGTGGTGCTGGTGTCCCACGTGGGTGCAGGTTTGAATCCTGACTCTGATCCAGCTCCCTGCTAATGTGGATGTTGTATACACTGCCAGATATCACTCAGCTGTAAAAAAGAATGAAATTCTGTCTTTCACAACAAAATGGACGCAACTGGAAATCATCATACTTAGTGAAATAAGCCTATCCCCACAAGACCAATACATATGTGTTTCATGATCTGTGATAACTATTATAGTACACAAAATGTATTGTATGATTATTTGCATTGCAATATGCATAAAATTATTCATGTACATTAACTGTTGGGAGGAAATGGCTTAAAGTCTAAATGAACTTAATTATCTTATAAACACACAGGAAATATTTAGGTGTTACTTTGTCATTGGTTCTATTTTACTGAAAAAATTATGAATGATTAAATGACAAAAAACCACGAATATGGGTGAAATGGTCATTTTTCCATTCAATTGTTGTTTAAAGCTATTATCTATATTCTTACTAAACTATATTCTTTTTGCTTTTTACTTAAGCTTTATATTCAGTGAAGTAGTAAGCCAGTGTACTGTAATGTAAATTTAAAATATGTCATCTCAAAAACTAAAAACAAAGAAAGGTAAAAGGAAGGATGGTAGGAAGGAGGGAAAAAGGGAGGGAGGGAGGAGGGGAATTTCATTATGTTCTTAGCCTTACATCCACAAATCATATTGAATCTGTTAAAATTAATTAAAATTAAAATGAACATAATAAAAGACCTTTGAAGTCTTCCCATGACCCACTTTACCTCCCTCCACTTTCTCACCCTCCAATATACCCATGAGCATAGGCTCATAAGATGACATATTCCATTTAGATGACACCTCATGGTTCTGTTTATTCAACAAGAAATTCTCATCTGCTTTAGGATAGAGACCCTTGGGAGATCTGACCACAGGAGAGCTTTAGGCTAAGCAGAAAATGCTTAGGTTTCTGAAGGACCTTCCAGAGAATTAGGAAACCTCAGGGTTACAGATTCTGGCCTCAATGAAGGGGAATTTCCACAGTGCCTCCAGGCAGCAATGGAGAACTCTGGCTACAGCCAGAGATTTCTCTCTTCTTGATTAGGCCTCTCTGCAAGGTCACCAGGTTAGAAGCTTGGAGCTCTTAGCCTTGGCCAAGCCAGTGATGGCTCTGAGGGCCTCCCAGTCACTTCAGAGTCCTCATCTGGACCCAGATTCAGTTCCCAAGCTTTCTATCATCCACAAACATCATTCAACACAATGATGCTGGGGCCAGTATTGTAGCACAGCAGGTTAAATCACCAACCCCAATGCTAGCATCTCATGTGACTGCAGGTTCCTGTCCTTGCTGCCCACTTCTGGTCCAGCTCTGTGCAACTGTACCTGAGAAGGCAGTGGGTGATGACCCAAGTGCCTGGGCTCCTGCCATCGGTCTCAGTGTGGAGACCTGGATGGAATTCCAGGCTCCTGGCTTTGGCCTGGCCCAGCTCTAGCAGTTGTGGCCTTTTGGGGAGTGAACCAGGGGATGGGTGATCCCTGTCTGTGTCTCTGCCTCTCTGTAACTCTGCCTTTCAAATAAATAATTTTTTTCAGAAAAATGAAAAATAGAAAATACCTCCTAAGTGCTAGTTATTCTTTAATGATTCAGATAGCACCATGCACTAATGCCATCTATGGGATCAGTGATAATGTATGATTTTGTGTATTTGGTCCAAGTATACATATTAAATCTTTTTTTTGACAGGCAGAGTGGACAGCGAGAGAGAGAGACAGAGAGAAAGGTCTTCCTTTGCCGTTGGTTCACCCTCCAACGGCCGTGGCAGCACCACGCTGATCCGATGGCAGGAGCTAGGTACTTCTCCTGGTCTCCCATGGGGTGCAGGACCCAAGGACTTGGGCCATCCTCCACTGCACTCCCTGGCCACAGCAGAGAACTGGCCTGGAAGAGGGGCAACCAGGACAGAATCTGTGCCCCGACTGGGACTAGAACCCGGGGTGCTGGCGCCACAAGGTGGAGGATTAGCCTAGTGAGCCAGGGTGCCGGCCACTTATTAAAATTTAAAGTAGACCAGGTCCTGGTTAGGATCAATATTGGACAAGAATTTTAAAAGGTAGCCTGCTTTTTTGAGTATGCATCTCGTTTCATAAAAGCACAAAATCAGAAAAATGTTGAAAATTTATGAAGATGAATGGAGCATAAAAAAACTTTCTCATTATGAACACTGCATTTAATATATTTTTAAAGATTTATTTATTTGGAAAGCAGAATTATAGAGAGGCAGAATCAGAGAGAGAGAGAGAGAGAGAGTGAGTGAGTTAGGTCTTCCATCTGCAGGTTAACTCCCCAGTCGGCTGCAATGGCTGGAGCTGCACTGATCTGCAGCCAGGAGCCAGGACCTAGGACCTTCTTCCAGGTCCCGCATGGGTGCAGGGGCCCAAGCACCTGGGCCATCTTCGACTATTTCCCAAGACACAGCAGAGAGCTGGATTAGGAGTGGAGCAACGAGGACTCGAACCAGCGCCCATATGGATGCTGGCACTGCAGGCGTTGGCTTTACCCGCTATGCCTCAGCACTGGCCCCTGAATTTTATAAAGTCCAGATAATGCACCCCCAGCAATCAATAGAAATGATCAATATTTTATATTTGGGATTTTTTGCATAGTATTTGAATAAAACAGGGCTGAAAGTTATTTTCCTCTGATTAGGATGAAAGGTGGAATGACGCTGTTTATATTTTGTCTTAAACATTTTACTGCAATCATGAACTTATCACACATATTCCTGTTCTTCTAACACTCTTTAGCTGAGTGACTCTAAAGTTAACTATATACAGGAAAGAAAATGAACAATGAAACAATGCTAAGAAGGTTGATTTTTTTGCCACTAAGAAATATTGCTGAAATGTATGGATCTCAAAAATAGAAACCTTACTTGTAAATTGCTCTAATCCAAAACATAGACACAGGGCTGGGTACTGGATGCTTATTTCCTTTTCTTTTTATTGTGGAACTTGCATTACGAATATATTGCTCTGCTGACAGTCTCCTGTGAGACCCTCTTGTGCTCTCTACTTATCTTCATTCTTTCCCTTTGGTTCCTTTGATTTTGTAATTCCAGGGGCTCAGTCCTTAAGCTGACTGACGTTTCCTCTCTCATAGAGTGCTCCTGAGCACTATACTGAACACTTCACATACCCACCGTGTTATTTATCACTATTCTCCATTTGCTTTAAAAAAGATTTATTTATTTGAAAGGCAGAATTACAGAGATAGGAGAGCAAGAAAGAGAGAGAGAGAGAGAGAGAGAGAGAGAGAGAGAGAAGGAGAGTGAGAGTGAGTGAGAGAGAGAGAGATCTTCCATCTGCTGGTTCACTCCCCCAAATGGCCACAATGGCCATTATTGGGCCAGGCCTAAACCAGGATCTAGGAACCTCATCCAGGTGTCCCATATGGGTGGCAGGAACCCAACTACTAGGGCCACTTTCTGTTGCTTTCCCAGGCACATTAGCAGGGAGCTGAATGGGGAATGGAGCATCCAGGACTTGAACTGCCCCTATATGGATGCCAGTGTTGCAGGTGGCAGCTTAACTTGTTATGTCACAATGCCAGCCCCTCTGTTTGCTTTTTATATCTCTTTATTGTTATTCACATTCTGCTCACCACTCCAATGAGCCCCAAAACACTTCACAGGTAAGTTTTAAAGAAAACTATTTAAGGATCCCTAAATCAGTACTGGCACAAGCAGCTTGTATTTTGCTGCAGTGAATGAAGCCTCAGGTGGGGAAGCTTGCAACCGGTGTCACAGTGCCTGGTTCAGGTCTCGACCACTCCACTTCTGATCCAATTCCTGCTCATGTGCACCCTGGAGGCAGCCCAGAATCAAATAAAATGAAAAATGAATAAGAATGTAGTAAAATAATTACAGAAGCTTCTTTCCCAAAGACTTATAACATGAACAATTATTGTTCCACATTTACAGATAAGGAAACTGCTCAAGTGCATTTACATTCTTTTCTGAAATTCTTTGTTTTACACTTCTTTTCTTGATTCAATCACAGTGTGAACTATTAATGTAATAAAGTCAAGTTGCCTTGAGGCAGCCAGAATTAGAGAATTGCAACCAATGAATCAAGAAGGTATAACATGAAAATATTTGAATTATGCACAGGAAGTTTGGGACTCCAATGGCCTTGCCCTTCCCTGATACCAAATATCTCAACTTAAATAAGGGCACTTATGATTATAAAAACTATAAAGCAGTCTTACCAGGTCTCTATAGAAAAGAGAGGAAAACTGGAACAATATTTAAGGAAGAGACAGCTCTCACATAGCAGATCATACAGGGTAGATGAGAGCATGAGAGCAAAGGGAATAGATAAAAACATGAATAAAATTTTAAAAATTCAGGTATTCTAAATAGTCCATTATTTCTAAATATTGGACAGGTAAGAATACACTAATATAACATTTGTGGTCAGTGGTTTCATATGGTCATGTGCATTTAGGTAAAGCATACTTATGAACGTCTGATATCCACTGGTGATGAGGATGGATGTACTTGATGACTTTAAAGAGACAAACAGGAGTGATTAAGATGTCCTCCTCCCACCTGGGGTACCTGGGTTGGATTCCTGGCTCTGGGCTGTGACTCGGCTTCCTGCCAGTGCAGACTGTGAGAGGAAGAGGTGACAGCACAAGCAGTTGGGCCCCTGCTACCCATGTGGGAGACCTGGATTGAGTTCCAGCTCCCAGCCTCTGCATTGGTCTGCCACACACAGTGCAGGCATCTTGGGAGCCTCCCTGTATGTCAGCCTTTCAGAGAAAAAGAGATAACAGAGAGAAACCAGAAAACCTAAGAATGATGAAATCCTGACACACAACAATAGTTTCCAACCATGAAAAGCAAGTGCAATTTAGAGTATAGATAATGCAGTCCTAACTTTGGAGTACTTATAAATATTTTCAGTCAAATGAGCTTTTGTCATGGCCTGAGAAGAAAATAAGATATATTCGATTGCTCTTCATTTCCTTGAATTAGAATGATGTTGTCCTATAGGGGGAAAATGCACTTCCTGTTCTTTTCTGTTAGAAGACTTAGTTGCATTTGGTTGTGATCACAGACAGTGCTCAACTCAGGTGAGTGTCTAAAGCAGGTGTGCATAGATGGAGAAGAGGAACACAGAAACCAATCAGAAGGAGCTCCAGGAAGACTGAGTCTGTCACTGTGGAGGAAGATGGCAGAGGTTGTATGTCTCCAAGTGTGAAACAGAGGTGGTAGTCTTGAAAAAGATGTAAAAATATTGATTACTGGAGGTTGGGAGTCATGGAATAAGTGTTTTGGATGAAAAAAATAAGGGAAAAGGCCAGCACTGTGGCACAGTGAGTAAAGCTGCTGCCTGCAACACCGGCATCCCACATGGGTGCCAGTTTCAGCCCTGGCTGCTCCACTTCCAGTCCTGCCCCCTACTAATGCACCTGGGAAAGCAGTGGAGGTGGGCCCAATTTCTTGGGCCCCTGTGCCCATATGGAGATCTGAAAGAAGCTCCTGACTCCTGGCTTTGGCCTGTCCCAGCTCCAGCCATTGCAGCCATTTGGGACGTCAACCAGTGAATGGAAGATCTCTCTCTCTCTCTTTCGCTCTCTTTCTTCCTCTTTCTGTTAACTCTTTCAAATAAATAAATAAAAAGTCTTTATAATAATTGGGGAAGATGGGTGTGGTTCACTGTAACAAAGATATCAATATGTGATGTAATAAGGTACACAGGATGAGGGGTATATGGGGACTTTATGTATTACTACCTCACAATTTTTTGTATATTTAAAACTATTCTGACACAAAGTGTTAAAAAATGATGATATAACTGTTAGTAAATAAATTATTTGAAAAGTCCAAAAGTTCACTGATTCTTTGTTGTACTTGAACCTGCTGTTGAATCTGTATAGAATATTCCAACTGAGTTATTTTATTCTTTATCTCCAAAATTTATTTTTTTATAGTTTGTTACCTTTATTTTCATTTATTCCTTTTTTTCTGGTTGCACAGTTGATCTCTTTGTGTCATCTCTTAGCTAGCTGACAGTCTTTGAGATGATTATTTTGAAATTGTTGTTTAAAAATCAAATATCTCCAATCTTTATTTTTAAAAAGATTTTATTTATTAGACAAGTAGAGTTACAGACAGTGAGAGAGAGAGAGAGAGAGAGAGAGAGAGAGAGAGAGAGGTCTTCCTTCTGTTGGTTCATTCCCCAAATGGCTGCAATGGCTGGAGCTGCACTGATCTGAAGCCAGAAGCCAGGTGCTTATTTCCTGGCCCTCCATGTGGGTGTAGGGGCCCAAGCACTTGGGCCATCTTCTACTGCTATCCAAGGCCACAGCCGAGAGATGGATCAGAAGAGGGGCAACTGGAACTAGAACCGGTGCTCTTACGGGATGCCAGTGCCACAAGCAGAGGTTTAACCTAGTGTGCCACGATGCCTGCCCTTCTCCGTATCTTTAAAGAGGGTTTAGTAACTTATTTCTCGTGAAACAATTTGTTCCTTTGGGTCATATTTCCCAGTTTCTATGCATTCCTTTTGTTCTCTGGTTAGATGTGATCATTGGGGAAAACATCTTCCCCAAGTTTTCTGGACTGGATTCATATGGGGAAGACCTTCACGGAGATTGTTGGGGACTCTCAAACCTTTGCTGGGAGGCACCTTCTCTGGGCTGTGTGTGTTTATAGTTGTTTTCAAGAGCACATCATCATCTCTGCCTGGTGTCTTGCTTCTGGTACTGAAGTTCCTCTGGGAGGATAACTAGGTGTTTTCCATAGTTCTCAGTTGCTCCTAATCTGGTACCCATAGGCCACTGCCGTTTCCATTAGAACTCCAAATCAGGCAAGGTATAATGCACTTCCTCAGGTAGCCCCTGAGAGGACAACACATCTTCTCTTTCCCTTCCAAGACAGATGCTAGGAGTTGGGGTGTTTCTGCTTATCCTGAGATGGTGTTTCTGGCACTGGCAGGGCCTTGGCTGACAAACACAAAGAATGCTGCCATCCACTCTGAGGAAGTACCTTTTGGCTTTGTGTTCATCTGGGCATGATGTAAAGCCTTAACCGGCTTGTGGAGCTCTTACAGAGAATTTGGCCCATGGATGTTGTTAAGTCAGGACTCTGTGGGTGAAATGAATATCTGAGACTTCCTATTCGTTTTTCTTAATGATATCACCATGGCCAACATTGTATTTTATTAACCACTAATGAATTGATGACACTCATTAAAAATCTAAAGAAAATACATTCTGGAGCAAAATGAACACTACATGATGCACAAAAATCATACATTACTGGAATCACTTGTGAATTTTGCCACAAAATGGCTACAGCCTGTTGTGATGTTGGGAGATTCTGGTCGATAAAGAGAAACCAGGATCACCTCTTTGGACTAGTTGGCTGTGGATACATCATGAAGCAGTATGAGTGGAAACTCTATCAGTACAAACACAGAGACAGTTGTCCTGCAGGAGAATCTGAGAGCACAAAAATTTGATGGGGGTTCAGCTGAAAGGTAGCCCGGTCATTACATAACCTTATTGCGTACAGATGTTAGCACTTAAAGTGTGCAAGATCACATGAGTGTCAATATAATCCTGTGCTTTTAGACTTTCAGAATTCTGCTCCCGGGGTGGGCATTTAGCACAGCAATGCCTAAATCCAGCAGTGTAGCATGTAAAAGCCACTGCCTGCAGTTCTGGCATCCCATATGTGAGCTGGTTTGATTTCAGGCTGTTACACTTGTGATCGAGCTCTCTGCTATGGCCTGGGAAAGCAGTAGAAGATGGCCCAAGTGCTTGGACCCCTGCACCTGCATGAGAGACCCAGAAAAAGCTCTAGGCTCCTGGCTTTGGATCGAGGCAGCTCCGGCCCTTGTAGACATCTGGGAGGAACTGGTGGATGGAAGAACTCTTAGAACTCTTTTTCTCTCTGCCTCTGCCTCTCTATAACTTTGCCTTTCGAATAAACAAATACATCTTATAAAAAATTGTATTGCACCAAAATTTTTCTCTTTAGATCAATTATTCTAAGAACATTAAAGCATGTGCTATACACATAACTGGTTGAACTGAAAACATGTGCATGTGCTGATTGCCTGTTTGTGTGCTTCCTTTTACCAACACTTTTTTTTCAGAAGGATTCCAGGGTGTATTGAAACACAAAATATCACATGTGTCACAGAATTCCATTTCATGGGCTTCTCAGAGGATCCAGCACTGCAGCCCCTCCTCTTTGTGCTGGTCCTGTCCATGTACCTGATCACAGTGCTCAGGAACCTGCTCATCACCCTGGTGATCATCTCGGACTCCCACCTCCACACACCCATGTACTTCTTCCTCTGCAACCTGTCCTTGGCTGATGTGGGTTTCACTTCCACCACGGTTCCCAAGATGATTGTGGACATCCACTCTCACAGCACAGTCATCTCCTATGTGGGCTGCCTGACACAGATGTCTCTATTATCTTTGGGTGCATGGATGATTTGCTTCTGACCGTGATGGCCTATGACTGGTTTGTCGCCATCTGTCACCCCCTGCATTTCCAGGTAATCATGAACCCCTGCCGCTGTGGCTTCTTAGTTTCAGTGTCTTTTGTGTTCAGCCTTTTGGATTCCCTGCTACACAGTTTGATGGTCTTGAAAGTTACCTGTTTCAAGGATGTTGAAATTTCTGGCTGGCATCACAGCTCAATAAGCTAATCCTCCACCTTGTGCCAGCACACCAGGTTCTATTCCCGGTTGGGACATTGGATGTTGTCCTGGTTGCCCCTCTTCCAGGCAAGCTCTCTGCTGTGGCCTGGGAGTGTAATGGAGGATGGCCCAAGAGCTTTGGCCCTGCACCCCATGGGAGACCAGGAGAAGCACTTGGCTCCTGCCTTCGGATCAGCAAGGTGTGCCGGCTGCAGCACTGTGGTCGCGGGCGGCCATTGGAGGGTGAACCAATGGCAAAAGGAAGACCTTTCTCTCTGTCTTCTCTCTCTCTCCCTGTCCACTCTGCCTGTAAAAAAAAAAAAGAAATTTCTAATTTCTACTGTGACCCTTCTCAACTTTTCTTTTTTTTTAACTTTTATTTAATGAATATAAATTTCCAAAGTACGACTTATGGATTACAATGGCTTCCCCCCCATACCGTCCCTCCCACCCACACCCTCCCCTTTCCCACTCCCTCTCCCCTTCCATTCACATCAAGATTCATTTTCGATTATCTTAATATACAGAAGATCAGCTTAGTATACATTAAGTAAGGATTTCAACAGTTTGCTCCCACACAGAAAACATAAAGTGAAAATAATAGATGATTTTTTTTTAAATGATGATGAAATCAGATCAGACCTATTGTCATGTTTAATCCCAGTGAGAGTCAAGTTGGGAGTGATAATTTCTTTTTTTTTTTTTTTTACAGAAGATCAGTTTAGTATGCATTAAGAAAGATTTCAACAGTTTGCACCCCCATAGAAACACAAAGTGAAATATATTTTTGAGTACTCGTTATAGCATTAAATCTCAATGCACAGCACAATAAGGACAGAGATCCTACATGAGGAGTAAGTGCACAGTGACTCCTGTTGTTGACTTTACCAATTGACACTCTTGTCTATGGCATCAGTAATCTCCCTATGCTCCAGTCATGAGTTTCCAAGGCTATGGAAGCCCTCTGAGTTCTCTGACTCTTATCTTGTTTAGACAAGGCCATAGTCAAAGTGGAGGTTCTCTCCTCCCTTCAGAGAAGGTACCTCCTTCTTTGATGACCTGTTCTTTCCACTGGGATCTCACTCACAGAGATCTTTTGCCAGAGTGTCTTGGCTTTCCATGCCTGAAATACTCTCATGGGCTTTTCATCTGGATCCGAATGCCTTTAGGGCTGATTCTGAGGCCAGAGTGCTATTTAGGACATCTGCCATTCTATGAGTCTGCTGAGTATCTCACTTCCCGTGTTGGATCACTCTCCCCTTTATTTATTCCATCGGTTAGTGTTAGCAGGTACTAGACTTGTTTATGTGCTCCCTTTGACTCTTAGTCCTTTCATTATGATCAATTGTGAACTGAAATTGATCACTTGGACTAGTGAGATGGCATTGGTACATGCCACCTTGATGGGATTGAATTGGAATCCCCTGGTATGTTTCTAACTCTAGCATTTGGGGCAAGTCAGCTTGAGCATGTCCCAAATTACACATCTCTTCCCTCTCTTATTCCCACTCTTATGTTTAACAGGGATCACATTTCAGTTAATTTCAACACTTAAGAATAACTGTGTATTAATTACAGAATTAAACCAGTCATATTAAGTAGAACAGACAAAAAAAACTACTAAGAGGGATAATGTATTAAGTTGTTCATTAACAGTCAGGGCTATGCTGATCAAATCACCGTTTCCCATAGTGTCCATTTCACTTCAACAGGTTTCCTTTTTGGTGTTCAGTCAGTTGTCACCGATCAGGGAGAACATATGGTATTTGTCCCTTTGGGACTGGCTTATTTCACTCAGCATGATGTGTTCCAGATTCCTCCATTTTGTTGCAAATGACTGGATTTCATAGTTTCTTACTGCGGTATAATATTCTTCTGTGACCCTTCTAAACTTTTCAGTCTTGCCTGCTCTGACTCCTCGACAATGACAGTCAGGTATCTTGTTGGCACCATGTATATTTTTTCCCTATCTCAGGGATCCTCTTCTCTTACTATAAAATTGTTTCTTCCATTCTGAGAGTCCCATCACCAGGTGGGAAGTACAGAGCCTTCTCCACCTGTGGCTCTCACCTGTCAGTTGTTTGCTTATTTTATGGAACAGCCATTGGGGTGTATTTCAGTTCAGCTTTCTTAGTGTCTACTGGAAAGTGTGCCTTGGCCTCAGTGGTGTACACTCTGGTCACCCCCATGCTCAACCCCTTTATCTACAGCCTGAGGAACAGGGACATCAAGAGGGCCCTGTGGAGGCTCCTCAGGAAAACAGGCTCATCGCAGTCCCTGTGCCACGCGTCTGGACTCTTGGTGGGAACTGCAGCAAAGTGAAGCATCTAGACCTAGAAATCTCACTTTTCTCTGTACATGATGTGTGAGGCTGGTGCTCTCCAGATTTTGTGTCTGGTTATTGTTTCTTTGGTCTTTTTAATGAGGCATATTTTAGATTTTTATACATTTTTCATACATAACCAGAGGCTGGGAGGAATCAAGCAATAAAATGCATTTAGACAAAAAATAAAAGAATCTGGTTGTGGATCAATAATTGTGACAAAGGTATTAATGAGATATTAAACAGGAAATGATGTGGTGATGCATGTAGGGGAATTCTTCTTATGACTACCTCACAATTTATGTTTTATAAATTTAAACCTATTCTGAAATCAAATGTTAAAAAATATACAACTGTCAATAAAAATTATTTGAAAAGTTAAAAAAGCCACTGATTATTCTTGATATTCTGCTGAACATTCCACTGAATATTCTAATAGAGTTATTGTTTTCTTCATCTTCTACAGTTCTGCTCATTTTTTCTTTTAGAGTTTATGTCTCTGTATTTTTATTACCAATTTGCTAATTCATCATTTTCCTGATTGCTTTGTTTCTATCTGTGTTATCTGTTAGAATACTGATAATCTTTAAGTGGCTATTTTGAGTTTGTTGTGGGATGATCAAATGTCTTCATTCCTTTAGGAAGATGTAGTACCTTATCTCTGGAGATGCAGTTTGTTAATTTGATTAGGTGGGATTTCCCTGTTTCCATGCATTCTCGTACTCTCTATGGATATTTGAGCATTGGGGGGAAAAAGCATCTCCCAGTCCTTATGGATGGGCTTCCTACAGGGAAAGACTTTCACAGCAGAGTGTCTAGAGACTCTGGGTGACACCCAAAGTTCCCTGGGCTTCTGTATGTGTGATTTGTGCAGTTAAAGGGGCTACACTTTTTTTTTAAAGATTTATTTTTATTTGAAAGACAGAGTTACAGAGAGAGGCAGAGCGAGAGTGATAGGGAGAATGAGAAAGGTCTTCCATTCCACTGGCTTCTCCCCAAATGGCTGCAATGGCCAGAGCTGAGCCAATCCAATGCCAGGAGCCAGGAGCTTCCTCCCACATGGGTGCAGGGGTCCAAGGGGTTAGCCTTTGTTCTCCAGAGCCAGCATCTCTTCCTCCCCCTAGTGTCACTTTGTGGAATTGCATTTCCTCTGAGGGCTGCACAGAGGTGCCTTCCATTGTTCTCTACAGCCAGTACCATTCAATGCCATTACCATTGGAACTCCAAGGCCAGCAAGGTATGAACCAGTTCCTCAGGCAGCCCCGAGAAGACAGAACTTTGGAAGAACACTCCACCTTCTCTTTCCCTTCCCTGAGAGATTAGAACTCCCTTCCAGCAGGGGGAAGTTTTCTCCTCATCCTGTTATGCTGTTTCTGGGACAGGGAGCTCTGTAGTGGGAAAATGCAACAAACCCATTTTGATACACTTCTTCCTGGCTTTGCACTCAGCTAGGGTGATATAATCTCTTAACTGGTTTGTAGAGTTCTAACAAAGGCAATTTGGTCCAAAATGTTGGTAAATCCAATCTCAATGGGAGAAATGAGCCATAGAGTTTCCTATTCCATCACCTTCTTGATATCACTAATCTCCAAACTATACTGCATTAAAGACTTAATGACATGGTAACACACATTAAATATCTAAGGAAAATTCATTCTGGTGTGCAATGATCACTTACTTGGAGAGCAAACATCAGAGGCCTCTCTACTGGCAGCATTTGTTGAATGGTTAAAGCTGTTTGTGAGATCATAGGGAGATTCTGCTGGAAGAAGAGAAATCATGGTTATTCCTTTGGACTACATTACCGATGATACACCATGAAGCAGTGTGGTAGAAACTGTATAACTACACAATGCAGAGATACACCCACCCAAGTGATAGTTCTGCAGGAAAATGTGGCTGAGAGCAGATCATTTTATGGTTTGTGTAACGTGCTGGGAGAAGACTGATATATGCACAATCTTGGGGTGCTTGCACACCAATATTGAGACCCACTCTTCAGTACCTAAAGTGTTCAAGAAATTCATAGAAAATAGCCTGTGCAGTCTTTTTTTTTTATTTGACAGGCAGTGGTATACTGTGAGAGAGAGATACAGAGAGAAAGGTCTTCCTTCCCTTGGTTCACTCCCTAAATGGTGGCTATGGCTGGTGTGCTGTGCCAACCCGAAGCCAGGAGCCAGGTACTTCCTCATGGTCTCCCATGTGGGTACAGGGCCCAAGCACTTGGGCCATCCTCCATTGCCCTCCCAGGCCACAGCAGAGTACTGGACTGGAAAAGGAGAAACCGGGACAGAACACGGAGTATTGGTACCGCAGGCAGAGGATTAGCCTAGTGAGCTGCAGCACCAGCCAGCCTGTGATGTCTTTAATGCTAGTCTGAGGGGCGAGCATTTGGCATGGCAGTTAAGATGCCACTTGGGATGCAGGCATCTTATTTTGAGTGCCTGGGTTTGAGTCTTTGCTCTGCTTCCAATTTTTACTTCTTGTTACTGTTCACCCTGGGATGCAGCAGATAATGGCTCAAGTATTTTTGGCTCTGCCACCTACATGGGAGACCCAGGTTGTATCCTCAGTTCCTGGCTTTGCCTGACTCAGCACTGGGTCTTGTGGGCCTTTGGGGAGTGAATCAGTCAACAGAAGTTCTCTCCCTTTGTCTTTTTGTTCTTGTCTCTTTTTGTCATTCAAATATAAAGGATGACTTTTAAAATAAGAATACTGGTTCCAGACTAGGAAGAACTGTGACTGTGTCTTCTTCCAGAGTCATCTGTATTAGGATGCCCAAACCTGCTGTCTTCCTAATCATCCCGAGTAGAGAGTTCAGCCCTCATTGTTCACTGGGCATGAAGAGGCAATGGAACCTCATTCCCCAGACATGTCCTAGAGCAGGGCTCCAAGCCCAGTGAGTTCTGTGGGACACAGTGGACGCAAGAGGTACTGTAGGAAGCAAGGTTTCCTCATGGGCAGGACTGGCAGGGCAGTTGGGATAATTAGACTGAGTAGTCACCCAAAAGGAAAGTATCAGTACAAACACCTGAATTCTTTTTTTTTTTTTTTGACAGGCAGAGTGGACAGTGAGAGAGAGAGACAGAGAGAAAGGTCTTCCTTTGCCGTTGGTTCACCCTCCAATGGCCGCCACGGCCGGCGCGCTGCGGCTGGCGCACCGCGCTGATCCGATGGCAGGAGCCAGGAGCCAGGTGCTTTTCCTGGTCTCCCATGGGGTGCAGGGCCCAAGCACCTGGGCCATCCTCCACTGCACTCCCTGGCCACAGCAGAGGGCTGGCCTGGAAGAGGGACAACCGGGACAGAATCCGGCGCCCCGACCGGGACTAGAACCCGGTGTGCCGGCGCCGCAAGGTGGAGGATTAGCCTAGTGAGCTGCGGCGCCGGCCCAAACACCTGAGTTCTAAATCTTGGTTCATGGGTAACATTCAGGAACTAACAGTAAGAATTCTGCATTCCTAGGGCAAAGTCACTACTTATCAATAGTCACATTGAACGTTAATGGACTCAACTCTACAGTTAAAAGGCACAGACTGGCTGAATGGATTAAGGAACAAAACCCATCTATTTGCTGCCTACAAGAAACACATCTTTCCAAAAAAGATGTTTGCAGACTGAAAGTGAAAGGCTGGAAAAAGATATTCCATGCCAACAGAAACCAAAAAAAAAGCAAGTGTAGCCATATTAATATCAGACAAAATAAACTTTAACACAAAAATGTTAAGAGAGGCAAAGAGGGACACTATATAATGATTAAGGGTTCAATTCAACAGGAAGATGTAACTATTATAAATGTATATGCAACTAATTACAGGGCACCGGTTTATTTAAAAGGTATGTTAAGGGACTTAAAGGGAGACTTAGATTCCAATACAATAGTACTGGGGGACTTCAGTACTCCACTCTCAGAAATAGACAGATCATCCGGATAGAAGATCAACAAGCAAATAGCAGATTTAATTGACACTATTGCCCAAATGGATCTAACAGATATCTACAGAACTTTCCATCCAACATCTAAAGATTTTACATTCTTCTCCACAGTGCATGAACGTTCTCTAGGATTGACCACATACTAGGACATAAAGCAAGTCTCAGCCAATTTAAAAGAATTAGAATCACACCATGCAGCTTCTCAGACCACAGTGGAAAGAAGCTGGAAATTAGGAACTCAGGAATCCCTAGAGCGTATGCAAATGCATGGAGACTGAACAACATGCTCCTGAATGAACACTGGGTCATAGAAGAAACCAAATAGAAATCACAAAGTTTCTGGAAGTAAATGAGGATAACACCACAAGATATCAAAACTTATGGGATATGGCAAAAGCAGTGTTGAGAGGAAAGTTTATAGCAATAGGTGCCTACATCAAGACATTGGAAAGACACCAAATAAATGAGCTTTCAATTCATCTCAAGGATCTAGAAAAACTGCAGCAAACCAGACCCAAGTCTAGTAGGACAAGAGAAATTATTAAAATTAGGGAAGAAATCAATAGGACTGAATCCAAAAAAAAAATTACAAAAGAGTCCACCAAACAAGCAGCTGGTTTTTTGAAAAAATAAAATTGACATACCATTGGCTCAACTAACTAAAAAAAGAAGATAAAAGACCCAAATCAATAAAATCAGAGATGAAAAAGGAAACGTAACAACAGACACCACAGAAATAAAAAGAATCATTAGAAATTAATACAAAGAATTTTATGCCAGCAAACAGGGAAATCTATCAGAAATGGATAGGTTCCTGGACACATGTAACCTACCTAAATTGAACCAGGAAGACATGGAAAACCTAAACAGACCCATAACTGAGACAGAAATTGAAACAGTAATAAAGGCCCTCCCAACAAAGAAAAGCCCAGGATCAGATGGATTCACTGCTAAATTCTACTAGACATTTAAAGGAGAACTAACTCCATTTCTTTTCAAACTATTCAGAACAATTGAAAAAGAGGGAATCCTCCCAAATTCTTTCTATGAAGCCAGCATCACCTTAATCCCTAAGCCATAGAATGATGCAGAACTGAAAGAAAATTATAGACCAATATCCCTGATGAACATGCATGCAAAAATCCTCAATAAAATTCTCGCCAATAGAATGAAACAACACATCAGAAAGATCATCCACCCAGAACAAGTGGGATTTTAACCTAGTATGCAGGGATGGTTCAATGTTCGCGAATCAATCAATGTGATACACCACATTAACAAATTTCAGAAGAAAAACCATATGATTATCTCAATAGATGCAGAGAAAGCATTCGATAAGATTCAACACCCTTTCATGATGAAAACTCTAAGCACACTGGGTATGGAAGGAACATTCCTCAATATAATGAAAGCAATTTATGAAAAACCCACGGCTAACATCCTATTGAATGGGGAAGAGTTGGAAGCATTTCCATTGAATACCAGAAAGGGATGTCCACTCTCACCACTGCTATTCAATATAGTTCTGTTAGTTTTAGCCAGAGCTTTTAGGCAAGAAAAAGAAATTAAAGGGATACTCTATAGGATACTATACAGCAGGAAAAACAATGAAATCTGGTCATTTGCAACAAAATGGAGGAATCTGGAACACATCATGCTGAGTGAAATAAGCCAGTCCCAAAGGGACAAATATCATATGTTCTCTCTGATCTGTGACAACTAACCAAGCACCAGAAAGGAAACTTGTTAAAGTGAAAAGGACACCCTGCTGCACAGTTTGATGGTCTTGCAAGTTACCTGCTTCAAGGATGTTGAAATTTCCAGTTTCTTCTATGATGTTTCTCAGCTTCTCAACCTCACCTGCCTTGACACCATCACCCAGGACATATACGTTTATTTTACTGGCATCATGTAGGTTTTTTCCCCACTCAGGGATCCTTTACTCTTACTATGAACGTATTTGCTACATTGTGAGAGACCCATCACTAGATGGGAAGTACAAAGTCTTCTCCACCTGTGACTCTCACCTGTTGGTTGTTTCCTTGCTTTATGGAACAGGCCTTGGGGTGTATCTGATTTCAGCTTTCTCACTTTCTCCCTAGCAGTGGCCTCAGTGGTGTAAAGTGTGGTCACTCCCACAGTCTGAGGAGCAGGGACATCGAGAGCACTATGCAGAGGCTCCTCAATAAAACAGTCTAATTTCAGTCCCTGTGCCCTACCTTGGATGGGAGGTTGGAAAAGAAAGCAAAACTAGACATCTAAGGGCTGGCGCTGTGTTGCAGCAGGTTATTGCTCTGGCCTCAAGTGCTGGCACCTCATATGGGCACTGGTTTGAGACCAAGCTGCTCCACTTCCCATCCAGCTCTCTACCATGGGCTGGTAAAGCAGTAGATGATGGCCCAAGTGCTTGGGCCCGTGCACCCACATGGGAGATCCAAAAGAAGCTCCTAAATCCTGGCTTCTTATCGGCATAGCTCTGGCTATTGTGGCCAAGGAGAAGTGAACCATAGGATAGAAGACCTCTCTCTCTCTCTGCCTCTCCTTTCTCTGTGTAACTCTTTCAAATAAATACATCTTAAAAAAACTAGACATCTAGACACAAGAATATCACCTCTCTCATGTTTGAGACTCTCGTGGCTTTCATTATTCTCCACATTTCCTAAAGAAAATACATTCTGATGGGAAATGAGTACTTACTTGATGAGGAAACACCAGAAGCCAGTGGGAAGCCAGTCTGGACAAAGAATGGCTAACACTGTCTGTGACATCATAGATTCTGTGGGAAGAAGGGAAACCATGGTTCCTCCATTGGACTATATGATCATGGATACACTATGGAGCAGTATGATAGACACTGTGTAACTACACAATACAGAGAAACATCTGTCCATATGGCAGTTATTCTGTAGGAACATTTGTCTGAGAGCAGATGGTTTATGGATTGTGTAACATGCTGGGAAGAAGAAAAATATATATACAATCTTGTCGTGCTTCGAGAACATCAAAAGTGCTCTTTAGTACCTAAAGTGCTCAAGAACAGCACGGGCAATCACAGCCAAATAGACAAATGGGATTGCATCAAGCTGAGAAGCTTCTCCACTGCAGAAGAAAAAACAAAGTGAAGAGGCAACTTATAGAATGGAAGAAAATATTTGCAAACTATGAAACTGATAAAGGATTAATATCCAGAATCTACACAGAGCTCAAGAACCTCTCCACAACAAAGCAATCCAGTTGAGAAGTGGTCAAAGAACTTGAACATGCATTTTTCAAGAGAGGAAACTCAAATGGCCAACAGACACATGAAAAATATGCTCAGGATCACTAGCATTCAGGGAAATGCGAAACCACAATGAGGCCTTACCTCAGCTCTGTTAGAATGGTACCCCTACAGAAATGAACAAACAGTAAGTACTGGTGAGGATGTAGGGAAAAATGTACCCTAATCTCTTGGTGGGAATGTAAACTAGTACAGCCATGTGAAAGTCAGTATGGAGATACCTCAGAGAGCGGAAAACAGATATGCCTTATGACCTAGCAACCCCACTGCTGGGAATTTACTCAAATGAAATGAAATCAGCATATATAAGAATTATCTGTACCTTATGTTTATTGCAGCTCAATTAACAATAAGACAGCGAACCAACCAGATGTCCATCAACTGATGACTGGATAAAGAAATTATAGTAAATATCCACTATGGAGAACTATTCATCTGTAATACAGGATGAAATTCTGTCATTTGCAACCAAATGGATGCAACTTGAAACCACTATACTTAGTGAAATAAGCTAGTCCCAGAAAAGACAAATACATGTTTTCCCTGATCTGTGGTATTAGAGTACCAAAAATGCAATGTATAGAAAACAAATTGACATTTTGAACTTCAACAATTGTTTATAGCCCTTGTATTTACTGTTGAGGAACAGGTTTTTTTTCTTATTATCGGTTGAAATAGAATGTTATGAATATAAAGTAAACTGTAGATTATTGTAAAAATTAAGAGAAGGATTAGGAGAAGAAGGAAGAGGAAGTGTGGGAGTATGGGTTGGAGGGAGGGCAGGCTAGGAAGTATCACTATGTTCCTAAATCTGTATATATGAAATGTGTATACCTTAAGCAAAATTTAAAAAGCAATAAAAATAAAAAAGAACCTATGAGAAAGACATCAACCTGTATAATCAGTCTTTAAGATGCTGGTCCCAAGAGAAGATGTTTTGCGCAGCAGTTAAGATGCCACTTGGGATGCGGGCATCCCATAACTGAGTGCCTGGATTTGAGCCCTAGCTCTACTTCCATTGTCTGCTTCTTGCTAACGTGCACCCTGAGGTAAAGCAGAGAATGGCTCAGGTATTTCTGTCTCCACTACCTACATGGGAATTCCTGGGTTTGTCTGGCTCAGCCTGGCTCTTATGGGCATTTGGGGAGTGATTCAGTCAATGGAAATTCTCTCCTTCTCTGTCCGTGTCTCATTTTGCCATTCAAATGAAACAAAGACTGTCCTGAGGAGAGAGCCTCAGGCCTCATTGCCCAGTGGGCATGAAGGGGCAATGGACCCTCACTCCCCAGTCATGCCCCTCAGCAAGGGAGCCCAGTGAGAGGCCTGCATCCTTGAGCAGAGTGTGTGGGTTACAGTCACAGCCCCAGTTCCAATTCCCACCTCCTGCTAATGCACACACTGTGGGGTAGCAGGTGAGAGCTTAAGCAGTGGGGTTCCTGCAACCCATGTTTGGAACTGGGTTGAGTTTTTAGATCCAGGCTTAAGCCAGAGCCATAACCAGCTGTTTTGAGCATTTGGGGAGTGAACAATAGATGGAAGTTCTATGTATCTCTTTGTCTCTCTCTGCCACTTAAATATTAATAAATATGATTTAATGCTATAACTAGTACTCAAACAGTATTTTTCACTTTATGATTCTGTGTGGGAGCAAACTGTTGAATTCTTTACTTGATGTATGCTAAACTGATCTTCTGTATATAAAGAGAAACGAAAATGAATCTTGATGTGAATGGAAGGGGAGAGGGAGTGGGAAAGGGGAGGGTTGCAGGTGGGAGGGACGTTATGGGGGGGAAGCCATTGTAATCCATAAGCTGTACTTTGGAAATTTATATTCATTAAGTAAAAGTTTAAAAAAATAAAAAATAAATAAAAAATAAATACTAAAAGAATAATTAGATATTAAAAAGAATGTTGGTCCCAAGGCAGTAAAATAGTATGTGTATGTCTTCCTCTAAGACTCACATGCATTAGGAGGCCCAGGCCTGGCTGTTTTCCTGACAGTTTTGAGAAAGCCTCAGCCCTCATTGCTTACTGGGCATAAAGGGGCAGTGGACACTCACTCCCCAGTCATGCCCCTCAGCAAGGGAGTCCAGCACCATTAGTTCTCAGGGACACAGAGGATGCAGGAGGGAATGTGGGAATGTTGGAAACCTTGTCTCTTTGAGTGTAGGACCAGCAATGTGGTTGAGGTAACCAGAAAGACTAGGATCAAAATGAAAAGTCTCAGCCCCAAAGTATGAGGTGTATAATCTAGGTTCTTAGAGGGAGTTCCTAAACCATAAGTGAGAATTCTGATTTTCTTTAACATTTTCTCTTTATAGGGTTAATCATCATGTTTACACAACCATTTGCTATACCTCAAGAATAACTGAAGCTCTATAAGGGAGATAATTATTATTGCTATTTTGCAGAGGCGGTAACTATTGAGTGTCTTTACATTATTTTCTGGAATTCTGTTTCACATTTTTTCACCATTCAAAGACAGTATAACCTAGGAAAATAATAAACTAGCATTGTCTTTAGGCAGCTGAAGTTAGAAAAATTCATGTACCAGGAAGTGGTGACATAAAAATTCTTGAATTATTCATAGGAAGTCTGGGACTCAGAGCTGCCTTTGGAGCTTTCCTGATATCACTCACTTCAAATGGTTTATGACCAGAAAAACAATCAAGCAGTATTGCCAGGCCATTAAGTAACACATAATAAAAAAATTCAGAAATGTTTAAAGTAATCAGCTCTCATATCAGGCATTTATTAAGATTCTAAGGGGAACATACAGGAAACCTGCAGAAAATTTTAAAAATCAAGTAGTTCTTAACAGTTCACTGTTTCTAATCATTGACAGGTACAGAACGCACTAATGTTCCAATGGTGGTCATTGATTTCATATGACTATGTGTATTTGTCCATGACTTTTACAAAAATTCGAGGTCCACCAAAGCCAAGCACTGGAGTTATATATTAAATGGCACTACGAGGCAAAAAGGAGTGAGTGTAAATAGCACAGTGGTTAAGGTGCCAGCTCCCACACAGTACTTAGGGTTGATTACTGGCCCTGGTTCCTGACTCTTTCTTCCTGTGAATACAGATTCTGGCAGGCAGTTGTCAAATGGTTGAGTCTCTACCAGGGGAGACCTGGATTGAGATGAGTATAAGAACTCGCAATCTCTACCTTGTTCCAGCCACAGCCATCACAGGCATCTGTGGAGTGAAGCAGTGAATGAGAGCATGCTCTCTAAGAAAATGAGCTAAAGGCCGGTGCCATGGCTTACTAGGCTAATGCTCCACCTGCGGCACCAGTACCGAAGGTTCTAGTCCCGGTCTGGGTGCTGGATTCTGTCCCGGTTGCTCCTCTTCCAGTCCAGCTCTCTGCTGTGGCCTGGGAAGGCAGTGGAGGATGGCCCAAGCACTTGGGCCCTGCTCCTGCATGGGAGACCAGGAGGAAGCACCTGGCTCCTTGCTTCGGATCGGTGCAGTGCACTGGCTGTAGTGGCCATTTGGGGGATGAGCCAATGGAAGGAAGACCTTTCTCTCTGTCTCTCTCTAACTTTGCCTGTCAAAAAAAATGAGCTAAAACAATATTAGAGTGAGCACACACATCCAAAAAGGGAGGAATGTCTTAAAAGCCAGGAATGAGTAGATCCCTGGAAGACATCAGGCATACGAACAGTATTTCCTAATTGTGAAGAATCAACCTTAGTTTGGGGTTCAGACAATACACTCATAGCTTTATAGATGACTTATAAAAATTGTGAATGCATTGAATTTGTACCATTGTCTTAAAATAAAAAAATTTAACTGTTTTTAAAGTTCCTTTAATTAGACTTTTTTCATAAATACTAGATTGCATTTTACTATGGTCATAGACTTGTGAGGTCTAATGTTCTTGGCTTTCTAATATTTGTGAGACTCCTTAAAGCTTTTGCATAGAGAGAGGTAGCACAGAAACCAATCATAATATCTCTCAGAAGATTGAGTTGTCACCACTGAGAAAGGAGACAGAATTTGGTTGCTGAGTGTGAATATGAAAGTGGAGTTCCAGAAGCTACAGGGAAAGTTTGTATCATGCAAAAAATGCATGAATTTCACAACTGTATTACAACAAGAAAACCCTTTTCTTTGAATTCAACTTATTCTGTGAAAACTAGAGTTACCCTCATGCTATATCCATACATACTTGACTTGAAGACATATGGAGTGCTGGGTGCCTGTTTATCTGTTTCCTTTTACCAATCCTATTTTCCTTTCCAAAAGGAGTCCAGGTTGTTTTGAAACACAAAATCTCACACAAGTCTCAGAATTTTATCTCATGGGCTTCTCAGAAGATCCAGCCCTGCAGCCTCTCCTCTTTGGGCTGTTCCTGTCCATGTACCTGATCACAGTGCTCGGGAACCTGCTCATCGCCCTGG